ACGGCGTCCCGGAGCTTCTTATCACCGACAGAGGAAATGCATTTACTGCCGACTTAACTGAAGCGATCTTGGCATACAGCCAGACAAACCACCGCCGAACGACAGCCTACACCCCACAGACCAACGGCCTCACCGAGCGGCTTAACAAGACAATCGCCGACATGCTGGCAATGTACGTCGATGTAGAACACAAGACGTGGGACACCATTCTTCCGTACGTGACCTTCGCATACAACACGGCGGTGCAGGAGACGACGCAGATATATCCATACAAATTGGTCTACGGAAGGAGCCTGGCAACGATGCTCGATGCCATGTTACCCAACGTCACCGACGAAGAAAACCTCGATGTGAGTGAGTACCTTCAACGCGCCGAAGAAGCCCGACAACTCGCGCGTCTCCGTATCAAAAATCAACAGACGACCGACAGCCGCTGTTACAATCTTCGACGACGCTTCGTGGAATACCAGCCCGGTGAACGTGTCTGGGTGTGGACGCCGATACGCCGACGTGGACTAAGTGAAAAGCTTCTGCGATGGTACTTCGGACCGTACAGGGTGGTTCGACGTCTCGGCCCACTTGATTACGAGGTTGTCCCCGACAGCATCACGAACTCTCAACGAAGCCGATCGCTAGTTGAAGTCGTCCATGTCGCGCGCCTCAAGCCGTTTCATGCGCGTTGACAAACTGAAACAGTGTTTTTTTGTATTATTATTGTATCGTAATTTATTCATTGTACTTTCTTGCATTATTGTTGTACCTTCATCTTTAGTTAAAGCATCGGGACGATGCCTTTTTCAGAGGGGGGCAATGCCACGTTCCATTTCCCAAGTTTTGTTATCGTCCCAAAACACTACACAATACTCAGCGTAAACCGCGCCTGCAATTTTCGAGAATTTTCCGGACTGTAGTAGATCATTTCGATAAGATAACGCCTACTCTGCGAACTGTACAATTTATTCTGGAACCTACGCCACCGCATGCGATAACGCTAGAACATTCAACGGCAAGAGTATAAATGCCGACGCGCTTCGCCGCTTGTCAGTAGTTGATCGACGGCCGACGCTCCGTTCACTGCTATCTGTGCGAGACTGCTACTGTAATCGAACTTTCTGTTTACTGGGCACAGGTTCGCACAAATAAACAGTTAAATCCAAACATAAAGTCTCCTGTCTTCGGCTTGTCACGACCCCGTGACAATATCAATCAGTCATCAAAGCTAGTTCATGTGACAATTCATAGATGGCACCACTTACTTGGTAATTTTTTTTTTTCAACCACCATTTCTAATCTTTTTTAACGACTTCTGTTTAAGAAGTGGCGCTTAGTCAAGGCAACATGTCTGTTGATTGCACATCCTCATAGCAAAAAAGCCTTTTGTCATTGAAAAGTGCTTCAGGCAGTAATTCTTTAGATGCTGAAGTTCACTATGATCCTGAAAGGGAGAGCAGTAGTGATAATATCGGTATCAGTCGTTCATAACACAAGAAAGACTGCTCAGGGGACACCATCATGAGTGCTCATCATTGGAGGGAGGTCGTCACGAATCACGTGTCCATCAAGCCTCCTTCTAGTGCAGCATTACATGCTGCACTAGAAATGGGTTACTAGTGGTAATCCTGGAGCAGATGATGGCTGATCATGCTACAGGTCTCCCGCTTCTATGGGGTGTGTGCACATGCATTGGGGACCTTGGGAGGAGAAGTTCTCAATGGACAAGGGTGGCACCGTTCAATGTTGCTGCTGCATCGGCTGTGAATGCCACCAGAATCAAAAGGTTTGAAGCGGGCATGTGTAGGGCAGCAGACCTCTTCCCTTTTGCGGTGCTGGGCGAGCAGCGTTACCAGCCTCAGAATTCACATGTTAACGGGAACCCCTTGTGGGTTCATCTGTATTTTACACATAACAGAAAGTATGCCAGCAGAATATCTAAACAAGGTGTTGAGATATAGTATGAAGCAATTTTCACAAATATACAGCTATTAGGGTACAAAAAAAAAAAAAGCTCATCTTTAGCCATGTTACAAAAGGCGTGCCAGCGCTTCTTGTGCTGTGCCAGTGGCTCTGCCTGACCTCTTGTATACCAACCATAATCTGACCGTTTATACACCAACGTCGTTTACACCAACCATTTTAGCTCTTTGCTGTCTCTTCTATCACTGTAGATCACGATGAGCACCTCAGTTATGCCAGAATTTTCGACCTTATATAAAAACGTGACTATGAATCGAGGCAAGCCACATCAACACAGTGTCGCAGAGTGCATTGAATCCTATGAATCCATTCACCAACTCCATCTTGGTCTTAAGTGTCAGCTCTCAGATCTTGTATATTCCAGTTTGCTTTCTCTTCCTGACTGTCCACTGCAAAGGTTGGCAACCTGCCCCCCCCTCCCCAAGTATAAGTATATGGCGCCTGGCAGAACATCGTAATCTTTCCCTAGTCACTTCTTCTCTGAAGGCAGTCATGGCAATTTCAACCTCAAAGGGGGGTTTTCACTTGTAACTCATGTTTATAAATTGAAGTTGCAACTTTGTGGTATGTGTGTTGAAAAGAAACATTTTTACTATACTTATATTCTATTTTTTTACATCCCCCTTTTGCCCCCTCTTTGCTGTGTCGCCTTTATGCAAATATGCCCATCGCCTTAAAAGGTTGCGACCCCAAGCATCAGTCTTGTCATTCTTTTGGTCTTCGAAATCGGGAACATTGTCTTAGATGCAGCTTTTCGTCTTATTGTCACCGGTACCGCAATGATAAAGAAGGGCAAAAAGGAATTTCAGGGCCTTCTCAATCATGAAGCACTCTCTTGGGATGTTATAATGCCCATCAAACTTGAAAACAACATTTATGCATACCTGTTATTTAGTTAGGCTAGACTTATAGCAAGGAACTGGTTCATTTTCAGTTCAAGTGTGCTTTGACACAAATATTGTTTGATGTACTGGTATAATTATAAAACGAAACACAGAGTTTCATGCTAGAACTACCTCACTGGAAATTCAGAAAAGGAGAAGCATACCATATATCTAGAACTTCAGATACTTTGCACGTAATGAGACTAGTTCTTAAAAAAATTTTACAGAACAAAACTAATTTAAACCGAAGAAATCACCTTATATCGCATGTCTTAAATGTGTGAAAAATATTTTTTCTTGGGTTTCTAAATGTTACCTACCTATGACAGCATAAAATTGTAAGCACTGATGGCGACATGCTGTAGAGGGGAAAGCTTTCACTGAAGAACAAGTGGGAGTGATTTATCCCATTATCCCTCGTAGGGATTCTGCGACATTGCTTCATCAAGTGTGCTTCATTTTATGTGGTCTGCACATCTCTCAGTTTGCATCGAGCACAGACGAATACTTTCACCATTCGATTAGTGGGGAAGCATAGCTCCTGCGTCCTGTGGGGACAGTGCACGAAAAAGTGTCCGTCTGAGTTCATCTTTTTCGAGCCCTAGTGCATATTGTTTCTAACAGAAAAGGTGATTCGGTGCAATCATTTTTTTTATCTAAGTGATTGGCAGGATGAAGAGGCTTTTCCTTCAAAGTGATAAAACAATTAAAAAGGTGCTGTATTGAAGGTGTACATAATATTATTGCCTAGAAATGATATTAAGTTAGCAGGAGGCATATTCACTGCTAGGAGTCTGTCTTGTGCAGTCTAATAAGCATTCAGATCTGTTAAATACCCCCTGCTTTATTTTACATTTGTTTTTTAAGTATTGCATGTTATTCATTTCATTTATTTATTTTCAAATACTGCAGCCCTATGGAAGGCTATTGCTAGAGTTGGGGAATACATTTTCATAAACAAATAAACTATTAACAAGGTTGACAACGCAGCAAAAACTAAGCAGAACAATTTATTATAGCACTATGTCTACAAAATCCAACAACGACGATTCACGAATACTACCACGTAATTCATTCCACCTTTCAATAACTCTAGGGAAGTAACTTCTTGAAAATGCTTGTGTGCGTAAAGAAAGGCTTTAAGCTGAGGCTGTGGTAATGTCTAGTTGAAAGAGTATTTATTAGCATGCCAGATGTAATCTACCGAAGACAGTCGGCAAGATGGGGGAATAGATGAGTGCAACAGCTTTGAGGAATCGGTATCCCGTCCAGCAGATAGGAAAGGGAGATTCAAGAAATTCATTGCTGATAAAGGTGAGAAGTCACGATCATAGTGATGGCAAATAAAGTGAACTGCCTTTCTTTGTACAGATTCAATTTTGTTGACATCGCATGTTCTATACAGGTTCCAGACAGATGAAGCAAACTCTAATATAAGGCGTATAAGTGCACAACAGTAATTTAGTGCATTTCGGAGATTTACATAACGTACAACGCAGGTAACCCAACTTTTTCAGTGCTTTGGAAGTAATGTGGTCAATATGCTGCGACCACTGTAAGTTATGTGATAAGATAACCCATAGGTATCAAATGTGATGTATCTATGCTTGTGTTACAAAGTATGGTTGGGCTTTAGTACACAAGGGTTCAACAGTTTGCCTGGTGAGGCATGGTATGAAATGAAACTCTGCGACTAGCCAAGTCTGATAAAATTATCCGAAAGATCAATCTGAATAGCATTGGTACAGAAAGAGTTGGCAAGTATTCGCTCCTCAGTGCACAACATTGTGTGTATATGGCAAGATCTTGTTGTAATTGAGTACACTCGAACCTCATTATAACAAACTTGCATTTTACATGAAAATAAGTTTGTTATATCCGAAATTTAGTTATAAAGGTTTATTGTTAACATTGAATCTATTGTGAGACTATCTTTAATTTACTTTGTTATAGCCAATATTTCGTTATATCCGGATTCGTTATATCGAGGCTTGATTGTAAAGCATGCCACGAACTTGCCGTGCTCAGTGTCGTGCGCAGCTGCATGCACTATTTGGAAGAGTGGTGTATTTGCCATCGCACATAGGTTGTTGACTGCTTTATTGAGCAGTCTGATGCAAAAGGTTTTCATATCCATTGCAGTTTGATGAAAGTGTGCGCATCTGGGACGTCAAAACTGGCAAGTGTCTCAAGACCCTGCCTGCCCACTCGGATCCTGTGTCTGCTGTGAGTCTCCATGCATAATTATTCAGAACATTGCATAATTATTGAGAACTACATTCAGAACTAGAAAGCCTGTGTTGCAGGTGCACTTCAACCGTGATGGCTCGTTGATAGTCTCCAGCAGCTATGATGGTCTCTGGTAAGTTAACCTCTTACAAGATTTGATGCTTATTAACAAGTGCCATAATTGTAATGACTTCTCCAAATAATTTGCATGTTTTTTAATGCAGCATCAAGTAATATACTATCCAGTATTCACTTCCTTTTAAGTTTGTGTATCCAGAAGTTGTTTGGAGCAAAGTAATCTAAATTTGAAAGTGTGCACAGTGGTTGTTGATATTGACATGCCAGCCAAATGGGGTATTTCTACAGCTGTTGAATGTATTTTTCTAGCTGGCTCGATTATTTCAATACTTCTATGCAATATCTATATCACTACTGTACCAGTGTATATCGGGACAAATGGCATCTGAGGTGTGGGGCTCATTTTGCTAGATTTTTCCAACATGCTCTATGTCTGAAGAATATTGGAAAGTTAGCATTCTTCATGTTCACTCATGAGCTAAAGTTGGTTTCTTGACCTGTGCAAATCAGTAATTTGAACACGCAGGCGCCATTGTGAAATATACGAAATGACTCATATGTGCTAAACAGTCAATTGGGCATAGTTCTAAGGAACAGACACTGATGTAATTTTCGCTGTTTCAAAGGCGAAAAATTTAGGCTAATGATGCAAGCATGTAACCATCAATGTTGACTTTTTGCTCTAGTTAACTCGCTCCGTTGTGGTGGTCTAGTGGCTAAGGTACTCGGCTGCTGACCCGCAAATCGTGGGATCGAATCCCAGCTGCGGCGGCTGCATTTCCGATGGAGGTGGAAATGTTGTAGGCCTGTGTGCTCAGATTTGGGTGCACGTTAAAGAACCCCAGGTGGTCGAAATTTCCAAAGCCTTTTACTACGGCATCTCTCATAATCATATAGTGGTTGTGGGATGTTGAACCCTACATATATATCTGCTCTAGTTAACTTTTTTTTGTTACCACGTGAAAATGGTTCTTTTTCATATGTCTCGGGAAGATCGTTTTTGCCAGTCTGAAAAGTATTCCAGCACGCATTGCAGCATACCAAGCTTTGCACAATGAAATGCTCTTTCCAAAAATATATGAGCAACAAAAGTACTTTAGAATGAATAAAAATGTGAAAAGTGTGGAATTTCTGGTTGCCAGCTGGTAAACAGTGTAATAAAAAACACTACATCTGCAAAAACATTCAAAACAAAGCAAATTTTGAATTAAAAAGAAATTCTGTGTTAGGAGAAGCTCTGCAGCCAGCGCCAGCACACCGCGCTCCAGCGAAGTGTGGACCATGCACGTAACCATGCAGGCTCTAAGAATGTACACAAAGGTCAGAAGCTATACACACTTGCAGCGGAGTAGACAACTTGAGGATGTAGACAAAACAAACCCATGAACGCCTGCGGATGTCTCAGGCTGGCACAAAACATTGTCGCCAGATAACTTGAAGCTGAAGTGCTGTCATCCTCGAACTCTAAGGTCGTCCTCACTCAATACAGATGGGGTTGCAAGGCAGTTTCGAGCAGTGAGTATGTTTAGCAGCGCTGGTGGGCACCCATGCGTGCATGACATCCACGTCATAGGACTGGCTAGTGATACTAGATGCGACCCGGTGTCTGATATAACAATGTAAGCAAAACCAGAGTTGCTTGAAATTGTCATAGACGGCCACTTCGACACTTTAAACACGTGGCAGACATTTGTAAGTGCTTTTTTCTAGAAGAAATTTTCCCCAACTCCTAGGAACAGCTCTCTATTGAATAGCTTGTATAACTTTCTGGCAATCATTACTGCTCAACATAGTCAAATTGCAAAGCTGACACTTTAGTTTGATATTCGACCTTCAAAGATTCTTTTCATTACAGAACTTCGATGTTACTGTAGCATAATCACGAGGGGCACGCAGTTCTGTCAAGTTCACCAGCCCAGTGCACTCTTCCAACAATACACGCACATTGGTTCGCGCAAAGTTCTGTCAAAAATAACTGCGTTGCCAAAACGGGCAAATTTAAATTGATTCGTAAAGTTGAGTGGGTGGAGTAACTTCTAGAAAGTGCTGGGTGTTCGAGAGACAAATTTAACATGCCAAACTTGACAATTCAAAATCGTCGGTCACCGGTGAACGATTTGAATGAGTGTGGTAATGAAAGAGTTAAACGATTGATATAACTGGAGGGATCTTATTTCTAGCTTTTATGAGCGCAATATAGCAATTGGTCTAAAATTGCATGAGAGCTTCGTTGAAAGATAAAAAATATTCATTACCTATGGAATTGCTGAAGTTATGGTTCTAAAATGCAAAAAAAAAAAAAAAATAATGATCACAATACAAAAGCCAGAAAACTGGGCAATGATGTGTCAGTCTTAAGTACAGACTCTTGACTGGCTCCCTGTATAAAAAAAACAGGGTGTCTACCAACCTGAAAAACCTGGGAAACCTGTAAAAATTGGAATTTAGACCCTTCTGAAAAAAGTTGGGGAAAAGTCAGGGAATTTCAGAAAAACCTGGCTAGATCATGGATACTGACAACAGTGTGTGTGACCATCACAAATATATGCGTTACCATTGATCAAAGCTTACAATGTCGCTTCTTCGGCTGCACCCACAGTGAACAGCTATAATAGACATGGAAAAAAAAAGGCAGTGCATAACTGTTGTTTATTGCCCCGCCGCGGTGGTCTAGTGGCTAAGGTACTCGGCTGCTGACCCGCAGGGCGCGGGTTCGAATCCCGGCTGCGGCGGCTGCATTTCCGATGGAGGCGGAAATGTTGTCGGCCCGTGTGCTCAGATTTGGGTGCACGTTAAAGAACCCCAGGTGGTCTAAATTTCCGGAGCCCTCCACTACGGCGTCTCTCATAATCATATAGTGGTTTTGGGACGTTAAACCCCACATATCAATCAATCAAACTGTTGTTTATTAGAAAGGTACACCAACCAAAAGGACACGTTTTGGTACAGTGTACTAAAAATGGGCAGTAGAATGAACTAGACGGCCGCGCCGCTTTTCGGCTGATTTTCCAGCAGGTGACAGTAGCGGCGGCGCTGTAGTCACATGGTACTGAAGATCTCAGGAGCATCTGCTTTTGGGAGGCACGCGTCATAGCTTGTGGAAGCGTGTAATTGCTCGTTTTTAGCGCGTTTAATACTTTTCTTAACTTTTATCATTGTATGCACACCTGCTACGTGCCATGGTGCACGAGTGAACTTGTAGGCACGCCGAAATTGCGTCGAGACATTCACTGTTTTAAAGGCCTGCTGCCCCCCCCTCCCCCCCCACACACGCACGCACGCGCGCGCGCACACACACACACACACACACACACACACACACACACACACACACACACACACACACACACACACACACACACACACACACACACACACACACACACACACACACACACATGCGCTCCATTGTTTCATGAGAAACCCGAGTGTAAGTAACGTTACAACATTTATAACGGTGACAACTCTGTTTTATTGTGCCAGTTTTGTGGAGGATCCTAATGCTTTGTGAAAGGCTTAGCTTGTTTTTTTAAGTGCTTGCTTTCGCACTTACTGTGCATCGCTTATGGAAGTTCCGAGTGCTTATAATACCAGGAGGCCAAGCCAGAAAACCGAGCTGAAGGAAAGTGTTTACCTCCGAGCCTCGAACTCTACGTGAAAGGGGTTATTTTAAGCATATTAAAAAATGCAGTTCTCTATATAACCCGTCCTATTATTTATTTTTTTATTTATTTATTTATTTATTTTATTTACAAAATACTGTCAACCCTCCTTGAGGGTTATTACAGGAGTGGAAAGGATACAAACATTATACAAGCAAGGCAATATAGTGGCAATACAAGAAGAGTACATAAGAAACGCGCGATCATGATAATAAGTAATGTATACATCATACAGGCATAGTTGCCTTGAACCAAATGATGAAGAAAATAAAATAAAATGTTAGAGTGTGGATGCTTTCTCCCGAACGCAATTAGGTTAACACCTGGAACTTGGGAGCACAGACATGAGTTTTTCAACGCTTTCTAAAAATTTTTGAAGTGTTGGCTGTGCTACAGTATCTGGATCAAGCGCATTCCATTCTCTTATTACGCGAGGGAAAAATGAAAACCTGAAGGTATTGTTACTGCAGAAATATTCTTTGAAGATGAGGTCGTGTTTTTGGCGCACTTTCCCTTTTTCTTTTATAGTAGTGAAGACGGAGGCATTAGTTTTAAAGTGGCCGTGCAACAGTTGATAAAAGAACTTCAACCGATGTATTTTTGCTCTATCGCGAAGCGTAGGTAGCTCTGCTCGGAGCAGAAGCTCGGAAGGGGAATCCGTTCGCCTATAGCGGTTAAAGATAAATCTTACCGCCTTGCGCTGTACGCTCTCGAGCAAAGCTATGTCAGTATTTGTTGAAGGAAACCACACTATATTCGCATATTCTAGCATAGGTCTTATAAAGGAAATGTAAGATAAGCGCTTGGTATCTGTGGTAGCGTAGCGTAGGGTCCGTTTTAGAAAAATCAACTTGTTTATTGCCTTTTTCGTCACCTGATGTATATGCGCAGTCCATTTGAGGTCAGATGATATTAGAAGCCCTAAATATTTATACTGAGTTGCTGTGCGAAGGGTGACACCATTAAGTGAGTATGGAAATAATAGTTTGTTTTTCTTTCTGCTTATGTTCATCACGACCGTTTTTTCGGAATTAATAACCATCTGCCAATCATGGCACCACTGGGCTACGTTGTTTAGGGAATCGTTAAGGGCAACCTGATCGTCAATGTGTTTGATTTCACTGTAAATCATGCAGTCATCTGCAAACAGTCTAATTTTAACGTTTACTGATTCAACAATGTCATCTATGAATAACAGGAACAAGAGCGGAGCGAGAACGGATCCCTGCGGAACGCCCGAAAGAACTTTAACAGTGTCAGAATTTTGTCCATTATAGTGCACAAACTGGTAGCGGTCTGAAAGGTAATCACTAATCCATTCAACTATTGGACCATTGCCTAGTTTGTCTATGAGTTTAGTGATGAGTTTAGAGTGGGACACGCGGTCGAAGGC